TGTGGCCCCTTGCACACGAAGCATCCACTTTGAGAACCCGTCGAGGCCTTCTTCTTTTCCTCATAATTTTTTCGCGAGGGGGAAGGTTTGTAAGTGTTACCACCTTTGAATGATGACTTGTGGTAATCTTTCTTCTCTCCCCCGCCTTTAGCCGAGTTACTCTTAAAGCTTTTAGAAGATTTCGATGAATCCGTGCTCCTTTGGAACTCGGTTAAAGATTCGGCCACCACAATAGCCTCGTCTACTGTCTTCACTCCCCGACGTTGAAGTTCTTACTTCGCCCAATTTTGTAATCCGTCGGTAAAGTGAAACAATAGATCTTTATCCGACATGCTCGGGATTTGAAGCACAAGGGTAGTAAACTCTTTGACATAATCGCGAATAGTGCCCTTATGTTTCAACTCCCTAAGCTTTTTACGGGCCTCATATACTACATTTTCAGGATAAAATTGGCGTTTCAATTCTTTCTTGAAATCGTACCTCATCCATCTTCAAGCGCCCGTGGCCAATGACATGTCCAAGGAAGTGTACCTCCTCCTTGGCAAAGGAACATTTTTCCTTTTTGATGTATAGCTCATTCTCCCGCAATGCTTGGAACACCGTTCGGAGATGTTTTGCATGATCCTCCAAGTTGTCGCTATAGATGACAATGTCATCCAAGTATACCACCACGAACTTGTCCAAGTAAGGTTGGAAAATCCTATTCATCAATGTGCAAAATGTGGCCAGGGCGTTGGTTAAGCCAAAAGGCATTACCAACCATTCGAATGAGCCATATCGAGTGATGCATGCTGTCTTAGGCTCATTCCCTTCTGCAATCCGTACTTGGTAATATCCCTTTTGTAGATCCACCTTTGTGTAATATTTTGCACTACCAAGTCTATCAAATAAATCAGCAATCAAAGGAATAGGATACTTGTTTTTAATTGTTACCTTGTTGAGCGCCCGGTAATCTACACACATGCATAACGATCCATCATGCTTCTTTTGGAACAAGACCGGAGCGCCATAAGGTGCCTTCGAAGGTCGTATCCTCCCCGTGTCAAGCAACTCCGTCAATTGCCTTCGAAGTTCTTCAAGCTCCGGCGGTGCCATCCGATAGGGTGCCATGGATGGTGGTTTGGCACCCGGTTCCAACTCAATCTTATGATCCACCTCCCTCCTAGGTGGTAATTTCTTGGGTAACTCCGGCGGCATCACGTCCTTATTTTCTTCAAGGACATTCTTGATGACTTCGGGCACATTA